ATCGCTCTCGCAAAGTTTTCAAAATTTGAGTGGGGGTTAGACCACGATCGAGACATTGCAATAACTCGTCCATGGTGGCTTTCAACGCAGCGACACTCTTCGATTTTCGGTCGGCTATATTGAGAATCGAGTGCTCAGTGCGTCCAGCCAGGTTTTTATCCTCAAACCTCTCCTTCAGGGCCTTAAAGAAATCCTCTATGCGAGTGCGCTTAGACTATTCCACCATTAACGAGCAGCCTGCCTCCTTCATGAGGGAGATGGTACTAAGGCACGAGCTCGCCATCAAGACACGGTCCCAATATGGAATCAATTGTGCATACAAATACGTGCCCATATGCGCCTCCCACTGGCAAAAGTTCTCCTCTCTCTTCCCGTTGTACGTCCAAGGAAGCTTCATTTTCATCTTCTCTCCCCTTTCTCCCCCGTCTAGCTGATTGGAAGCTACCTTTCTGTCCCCCTCCTTCGGACCTCCATTGCCATCATCTCCACCATTTCCACCCCCACCACTACTTGCTACCTTTATCGTGGAGACACTGTCTACTAATTTCGAGGTGAGTAATCCTCCAGTTGCTATGCATATCCCCAACGCGCTCATCTATCCGGTGGGCAACGACGCTTAAGTAATTATTTCAAGCGCCCTTGAACTCATGATTTTGTTGTTCGAGTCGGGTGATAGATTTGTTTATAGCGGTAAGTTCCTGGTTAGTATGTAGCAGGGCACTTACCACAAGGGTACGGTCATTCTTCCACTCACCCTCACGACCCTTCTGTTCCCTGAGCTGGCGTTATGGTTCCCCGCAAGGTGGACGCGTTCCTCCTCCACAGGTGGAAGAGGTAGGGGGCACAGACCATGGCGAGCATAGCCAGGGATCGCTGATGGGGAAAAAGAGATGGGCATCGAGAAATCGTTGTGGCAGAAGAGGCTTGATGCCCACCAATGCCTAAAATGTGGTGATCCCAACGACATTGTCTGATTTTGCCCTGACTACCGCTACCCAAAAGGGAGCAGCCAGTAGGAGTGGCCATTGCTCGTGTTGGGCCTTCAGACACAGACAGACAGATAGACATGTGCGCGTTGAACATGCACCCTCCTGTCTGAAGGCCCCTATGGTAGAATTGACGTAGGCCCCCACCTAGTTAGCTGTTCGGAGACTGCTTGTCCTAGGGTCTCTCTGAGTTGATCACTCGCCGCCAAGCTTGGGCCGAAATGAAGAAGAAGAGTAAAGGGCAGCTAATCTTAGCAGATGTAGAAATCAGTACAGAGCGAGGAGGCGTGTTAGTTGGTAGTGGATCTAAGGTAGCTACATTAGCTGAAGGGGACTGCAGAAGATGCACCTCGGCATGAAGGTTTTGAAATTGTACGAGCCGATCGTGAGCAGGCTGGCAGACAATCGCGAAATGAGAGTAGTAGAGTATGCCGAAGGAGTAAGGGTATACTTACGGTTGCAATGGGGGAACAAGGTGGAGAAAGTTTTGCACTCCCTGACCCTCTTAGTGGAGGACAACCTACCTTTCGACTTGATTCTAGGACTTCCCATGAGAAATGAAAGTTGAAAAAACATTCCATAAAAAAAAAAAATCCTTCATATTGATAAATTATAATTTCAATGTTCGTCCAATTCTAAAATTTTCAGTTTTATTTGACAAGTTCCAGTCTAAATATGAGTTTTCCCTTCCAACTACATTTTGTTCAAGATGGAATGGAAGTTTTGACGAGTTTATGAAAAATTTTAATTAAACTTTCATTCTATTACAACAAATATCTTCTAATTTGGATTGGATTCACCTATTTATGACTGAAAATCCTTACTTAGAATGACGGTCAAATTAAAATATTTCATGAACTCATCCAAACTTTCATTCCATCTCTAGTATGCAGTTCAAATAAGAAGGGATACCCCATTTTTGGAAGGAAAGTTTTCAAGTAAGACGGAAATTTTTAAAATTGGAATGACATTTTTTAAGATGGAATGAAAATTTGAAATTTAGAATGTAATTTTATTATAGAATGATTATTTAATTATGGGAAATTTTGGGGGAGAGGCTGCAAGGGCTGATGTAAAGATGGGCGAGCACGAGTGTTGGCTGCCCTGAAGGAGGTAAAAAGAAAATGCGGTTGTTTCAGCTGTTGCATGAGTTCGGAGTAGAGTCCAGTCTGTCCCTTTGTTGTATGAGTGCCCCTGTATTCGCCAGGCACGTGGCCAGGGCCGATTTGGTGGACCAAGTCTTCATAGCGTATGTTAGACCAGTTAGCGAAGGCAAGGAGGAGGAGCAAACGCCACCCACAGTTGAAAAACTGCTGAGAGAGTTCGTTGATGTGGGAGAGACCCCGACAGGAGTAGTGGAAAGAGAAATCAAGCACTGGATAGAGATGGAGCTCGGTAGTAAGACTCTTAATGGGCATATTTATCGAATGAAGTGGATGAGCTTCGCAGGCAGCTTAATGAACTGATAGAGAAGGTGTGGATTAAGCCTAGCTCCTTGCCGTACGATGCACCGGGCGTATTTGTACCGAAGAAGGCGGGCGAACTGCGAATGTGCATTGCCTATAAGGGTTCGAACACGATTACGGTGAAAAACACCGAACCTTTGCCTAGAATAGATGATCTGCTGGATAGGGTGCATGGCTGCAAGTATTTTTCCAAGATTGATTTGATGTCGGGCTACCATCAGATAGAGGTACAACCTTGAAGACCAGCACAAGACGACCTTTAGAACGCGCTATGGCCACTACGAGTTTGTGGTCATGTCGTTTGGTCTGACGAACGCCCCTGCTTCCTTCCAAAGATGCATGAACGATCTCTTTCGTGAATAACTAGATAAGTTCGTAGTCGTTTATCTAGATGATATTTTGATTTTTAGTAAGACTCTAGAGGTGCACCAGCAACATCTGCGTTTGATCTTAGAGAAGTTGCGCATTGCAAACTTCAAGTTGAATCCAAAAAAGTGTGAATGGGCGAAGCCTCAAGTGTTATATTTAGGTCACGTGTTAGACAAAGATGGAGTCGGACTGGAAAACGCAAAGATAGCAGCAATCAGGGATTGGCCTACACCGCACATGCTGACTAAACTGTGTTTGTTCTTAGGCTTAGCCAATTACTACCGAAAAGTCATACAAAATTTCATCATGATAGTTGCACAAGTGCACAAACTGCTGAGGAAGCGCACACGCTGACCGAACTACGGTTGTTCTTAGGCTTAGCCAATTACTCTACCAATTATTACCTAGGCTACCAGCCGGGCCGCTCGGGTCACAGGTGGCCAGCCCGTGCAAGGACCAGGGAAGGTCCCAGCAAAAAAAACAAAAAAATAATGAACTCCAAAAAATCCGAAAAAAAAACTATGTTACGCAGAAGAATAAACTGAACAACTTTTGCCTCAGGGTCGCATCGAAATTCTTCACCAAATTGAGAATAAAAATTGAAATTTAAAAATAATGTTTTTAATACTTTTTATGTTCGTTTTTTTTTTTTTTTTTTTGGTTCGGCCGGATAAGTGATCCAAGGCCACTCTGGTATCCTAGATTACTACCGAAAATTCGTACGGAATTTCACCCTGATAGTTGCACCAGTGCGCAAATTGTTGAGGAAGGAAACAATTTGGAATTGGGACAAAGACTGCACCTCAGCCTTCAAGAAATTGAAGAAGTCGCTAATTCAGTACCCGGTCATGAAAGTTGTAGACCCATGACTTCCGTTTATTGTCACGACGGACACAAGCCAATATGGAATTGGCGCCACACTCCAGCAGAACGATGGGGAGGGGTACCGTCCCGTCGAGTTAATATCTTGTAGGTTGCCTAGTGAGAATATGAGCACAAGCTGTTCACCTTGAGTGAAGCACTAAACCACTGACGACACTACCTCCTAGGGAGGCACTTTAAAGTCTACTCTGATCATGAGACCCTACGCTAGTTAAAAGCCCAGGCCCGGATGACCCTTAAGTTGACTAGATGGGCCGGGGAAAGATTGCGCTTCAGGTGTTGTTGCCACTTCGTGGCCTGGTTCCCGCTCTTCGAGCCCTGGTATGTGCGCTCTTATTCAACGCAATACATAGGAAAACGCTCTCTTTCCTGACCGAACGCGTCTAGTTCCTAATCCTACTCGCACCTCACGTCCACGAACCCGTTCAACTGCGTCTCGTAGACATGGTTGGGGGGGCCTGCACTTTGTGCCTGATCAAACTCTCATAGTCACTACGGGAGAAGGATTCCATTTTTTAGCACATGACGTTCTCCACCTTGGCAAAGGCTCGAAGAGCAGACGCTTCGCGTCTGAATCCCACGGGCTCGTCAGCAGAGTTGCTCCGTAATAAATTTGGAACTGGGTGGGGGTAGAATTGGTGGAAGGTACGGTGTACCTGGTAGTAGAGCTGGAATGGCGTGCGAGAGGAGAGTTCGGGGGCATAAATTGGGGGAAGGGTCGAAATAAACCTGGCAGCAAGAAACGTGGTAAGTAACCCGGTAATGGACTGGGTGGGGGTAGAATTGGTGGAAGACACGGTGTACCTAGTAGTAGAGCTGGAATGGCATGCGAGAGGAGAGTTCGGGGGCATAAATTTGGAACTCCCAGGGCGCGTGCATGCGAAGGGATCCCTACACCTGTTGGCAGAAGGATGGCGAACTTTTGGGACCTTGGCGTCCGGGGACGACTCCGTGCGAATGTTCGAAGGAGCATGGCAAATAACCTGGCGGGAGGGGTTTGAGTTCGCGGATCCGAAACGAGATGACGTGACGACTGAGGTAAAGGTCGCCGCAGCAGGGGTCTTTGAGTTGCCAAATGAGGTCGTACGAATGAGTCTGCTACCCTTTCTACTAAGACAACTGGGAGGCGTAGAGCGAGTGGAGCAGGCGGTCGCTGCCATAACTAGGCTAGATTTTGACGAAGCATTAATGTATCAAGAATACTACCGGGCCTTCCTAGAGATGGGGCTTTTTGAAGACGAACAGGGGCATGAGGTGCTTTGTATACTACGAGCGTCAGTAAATACTAGGCCAGGAGTTTCACAAACAAGTGATGAGGCTATGTGGAGAGTCATCCGGCGGGAAGTAGGTCGGGGCGCGACCTACATAGATGACCTTTACCGGTTGTACGAACAACCGGAGGGGGTTGTTGCTCCTGGGGATATGGAGGGATAGTTGGGATCAGAGAAGAAGAATGAAAACATGAAGGGTAAGGGGGCAGTAGGTGGAGGTTTACTAAGGATTGGCTGTAACCCTCTCTATGTGGACTATGTAGGGAATCGCCAAGGCAACAATGGCAGCAAAACATGTGCGAATGGAACGCCAGCCCCGTGTGCGAATGGAACATCAGCCCCGGTACCCCGGACCGCCCTGGAATAACGGCGGGCGATGGGAAGTATCCCTCCCGTCGAATTCCAACTTTCGGGGGTTCGACGCGGAATGGCGGGCCGTCACCCTAGGAAGAGACAACGCCTTCATGTTGGTGGAATGTCGCTGGACGGGGATGAGACTCAACCGAGGGCTTGGGGACGATTTGTTCACCAATTTAGAGGTAACCGGGGTCCTATACCTACCCGAGGTTGGCTGGCACTTATTCGAGATAGGGATAGCGCAAGGCCACGAGTTGGCTCCAGTTTTTCGGAGGGCGGCCCGGACATTGACGTGGATAGGACAATCGGTCAGGGGTAGAAGAAACGTGGATTTGCTTACCAGGGTGGAAATGGGGGGTTGGAGGGAGTTCAGGGCACCAACCACACCGTTGAGGTGTCGAGTCCCCCGGTTTATGATAGACCTCATTTTCGGGAGCCTCGCAAGGGCACAAGCGCTGGCAGACTCAGCGATAGTCTGGGTAGACCACTTCCCCTTTCAGACCATCTGGATGTTCTACGATGTTTCTGTGGAACATTGGTCGTTCTGGGGAAATAGGGCCCATGAGTTACTGGAAGTCATCCATATTCTGATATTTGGGTTGCCGCGACTAGCCTGGACGGATTACGAGCACATAATTCTAAGAGAGATCGAGATAGGAGAGAGTTATTTAGCAGGGGTGGCTCAACTATTCGAGGAGCCTACCGAACTAGAAGGGCCACGAGGGCGAGACCGGGACTAGCCTCCGGGATGGCCCAATAGGGCAAATTAAGTATAAATCCGCCGATGGAAACGAGGAAGGGCGTCGGACCCGGACGATAAAAATCGCTAAAGAATAAAGGGGGGAGGGGGTAGACTCCTAATGGTTGTCGTGACCCTGAAGGTCAAAAAGGGGAATACTGCTTGGGAAACTTTCCCTAGCGGGATGCCTAACCTGGACTCCTAATCA